CGTTTGAATCGTCAGTGGCAAATTCTTTAAATATGAAAACGTACTTACAGTCTGTGAGTCAGAACAGCCGGCATTGTAGTCTACTCTCCCAGGATCAGAAAACAGTCCTCCATAAAATGCGCTCCACACATCTTTCAGATTTCTAGTCGTGTCCTCTTTTGGAAGGCCAAACAAAGTAGTTTCTAGGGCTGCACGATAAATCGCATGTGATTTTTAATGCGCATCTTGTCAGAAAGCCGGTTCTGTAATCAGCGGTAAATCTCCATCACCATCACCTGCGGGCTTTCACATTGAGCAGCATTAACTACACAGAGCCGTTGTTCACTGACGAGTTGCGCAAAAAATTGAGCGAATATGAACGTGGTTTTGCGCACCTCGTCAGTGAACAATGGCTCTGTGTAGTTAATGCTGCTCAATGTGTAAGCCCGCAGGTGATGGAGATTTACCGCTGATTACAGAACCAACTTTACTGATAAGATGCGCGTTAAATATCGCATGCGATTTATCGTGCAGCCCTAGTAGTTTCGCTTTCGCAACGAAACACACAGCATCTTCACGACATGGCGGTGGCAGCAACAATAAAGTTAGAGAGAATAAAAGTTACGCCTTCTTTCTTTGCATGAACATTTGGGCGGCGTTATGCAAATCTTCCCACATCGTGACATAGACATGTGGGGGCATGTTTAAACGAGGCGTTTTAGGAGGGCATGGACCAGTCTTAACTTTTATAAAGAAATAAATAATATATAAATCTGAGACTTTAGTCTTTGCAACTTAAGGGATTTTATCTATTCACGAACAGCTTGTAACACTCCAAAGAGAAAGGAAAACTTGAAATCGCATAATATGACCCCTTTAACCTTTTGATTAGGTAGTATTTCTGCAAATTACCTTTTGAAGTGCTATTTTAATACTAGCTGTGGACTTTAATGACACTTAAGGTAAATTCTGGCTATTTATCTCAAGCTTTGCTCCGACTTTGTGTGTGATGATTCTTGAAAACATTGTTTTGTTTCTTAAGTCATGCATGGATTCAGGCGAAACTTTGCATGTCCGTGCATTGAATGACCCTGTGTCTGTCTGGAACTTGAATGTCAGTCTACGCTGGTTTCACACCTGTAGCAGTGTGTGTGTACCGCAACTGTTCAAGTGAACTTTCCTCATGTGATCTGACACTGTGTGCTAAAGCTGTGTATATCTGCAGTGAATGTGTATCGGTGAGACTGTCTCTGGCCCTCAGGGTGACAGCAGTGTTTTGGAAGCTCGACCAGGTGTATGTGTCCAAATGGCACGTGGGAGGGGCCTCAACTAGCTTTACTCATTTCCCTGGCAAATACTGTCACCAGTTCCCTTTTCTTGTCACACAGCCTCTAGAGATTATATAGCAGAAATGGAATGTGTTGGAGTCACTATGTTTCTGCTCATGTCCACCATATTTCTAATAATTCCTGGTAAGATGCTTTTTATTAATTTTTGAATGAATGGCAGCAGTAATGTTACACACTAAAACTTAAAATATATATATTTTTTTTTTTGGCCAAAAAATGTGAGGTTAAGCTAAAGGCAGTCAATGTTTTGGGATGTCATCTAATTAAATACATTTCTAGAGTTTAAAATTTGCAGTAAAATAAACGTTTATTATTTAACCTAAAATGTCATTCAAAGTTGCGTACATATCTAAGAAGTAGGATGGAGGGATACTCTGGAAAACTTGTCATTTAAATATTTGTTTGTAAGTTATTATTTTCTATTGACGACTGTTGACTTTAAGCAAAAAAACAACCTTCTCTGCACATTAAGATTATTTCAAATAGCAAGGTGGTATAGAACCTGAAAGAATAGGACTGTGGTTTGGTTTTAATTCTGTAATTTTGAAATAGCGTGGCGATTACTTCCTGCATTTGGAAATGTTCACTTCCATTTTGAAATGTTCAGTGGAATATATTCCCACTGTAACCTCAATTAGCAAACAAAGGTATATACAGTATGCATGTATATGTGTGTGTATATATATATTTATTATATATATG